GGTCAAGTCGTCACTATTTTTAGGATGGGTGGGGTAAACTGAGGCACGGGAAGAGGGCGGTTCTTGGCCCAAGGCCACATAGCGGGCAGGAGTGGAGGATTCCCAGCCAGGAACTCCTTGGCCTCCATCCGCCCAAGAGCAGATAGACCCAGGTGTTGGGCTCCTGTCGAGGCTGTCGGAGCTGCCCGGCTGGCCGGGTGGGGGCTGTGAGCCTGCAGGGCCAGGACACAACTGCCGGAGGAGGGGGGGAGCTTGGCTTGGTGCCGAGCTGGCTGGGGGGACCTCAGGGACCCAGCGACAGCAGGTCTGGCCTCCGGGTCAAGCAGAACTGCCCCTGCTCGGATCCCTGGGTTCCATGCCCAGCCCCGCCCTGTGCGGGTATCGGAGCCGCCTCGGCTCACCAGCGGTAGCTTCCTCCCTGCTTCTGGGGAAGAGCCGTGGTGGCTTATCTCTGGCCATCTCTGCCGCAGACGCACTGGGTGATGGGGCAGGGTGGGGCAGGCAGGCAGAGGGGAGCAGACCAGGGCGGCTGGAGCCAGCCAGGGCCTGGCGGGTCACCGTGGATCAGAGCTGGAGTGCCGGCGATGCTGCCTGGGACGGTCAGGAAGTAGCCGAGGTTTGTAGCTGATTGAAATGGTGTTGGACAGTGCCAGCTAGTGGTTAGAGCAAGGAGGGGGCTGGGTGCCAGGACTCCTGCGTTCCTTTCCTGCTCTGCCATGGACTCTCTGTAACTTTGTAGCTTCATTTCTCGGAGCCCCTGATTCCCCACTGGGGACGTAGGCTGGGAGGGTGTCTGGGAGTGGGGTGCTATGGGGAGCACAGACTGGAGAGGGGGGGTCAGGCACTGGAGGTCCTGGAATTCAGCCTCCCCGCACTTTGGAACCAGCCAGGCCTCTGACAAGAGCTGAAGAGACCTTCCTGATGGGGGAAAACTTCCAGCCGGCTTCTGCCGCCAGGCGGGCCCCTGCAGCACCCGCAGACCTCCCCACGGGGCCCAGGCCACACGGGGGCCCCGCTGTGTGTCTCAGACCCCATCTCTCTCTCCCAGCTGTTTGCCTGGAAGGATCCCAGCTGCGCTTCCTGGGCCTTGTGGAGCTGGTTGCTTTCCTCGCCGTGAGCCGGTGAGCGGGGCTGGGGGACGGGAGATGTTTTCCCTGAGTCTCCGCCCTCCTGCCCCCAGGGCTGAGCCTTCAGTTAGGGGCAAGCAGCCAGGACTCCGGGGTCCTCTCCCCTGCCTGGGGAAGGGAGTGGGGTCTAGGGGTTGCAGCACGGGGGAGGGAGTCAGGACTCCTGGGACCTCTCCCCTGCCTGGGGAAGGGAGTGGGGTCTAGGGGTTGCAGCACGGGGGAGGGAGTCAGGACTCCTGGGACCTCTCCCCTGCCTGGGGAAGGGAGTGGGGTCTAGGGGTTGCAGCACGGGGGAGGGAGTCAGGACTCCTGGGACCTCTCCCCTGCCTGGGGAAGGGAGTGGGGTCTAGGGGTTGCAGCACGGGGGAGGGAGTCAGGACTCCTGGGACCTCTCCCCTGCCTGGGGAAGGGAGTGGGGTCTAGGGGTTGCAGCACGGGGGAGGGAGTCAGGACTCCTGGGACCTCTCCCCTGCCTGGGGAAGGGAGTGGGGTCTAGGGGTTGCAGCACGGGGGAGGGAGTCAGGACTCCTGGGACCTCTCCCCTGCCTGGGGAAGGGAGTGGGGTCTAGGGGTTGCAGCACGGGGGAGGGAGTCAGGACTCCTGGGACCTCTCCCCTGCCTGGGGAAGGGAGTGGGGTCTAGGGGTTGCAGCACGGGGGAGGGAGTCAGGACTCCTGGGACCTCTCCCCTGCCTGGGGAAGGGAGTGGGGTCTAGGGGTTGCAGCACGGGGGAGGGAGTCAGGACTCCTGGGACCTCTCCCCTGCCTGGGGAAGGGAGTGGGGTCTAGGGGTTGCAGCACGGGGGAGGGAGTCAGGACTCCTGGGACCTCTCCCCTGCCTGGGGAAGGGAGTGGGGTCTAGGGGTTGCAGCACGGGGGAGGGAGTCAGGACTCCTGGGACCTCTCCCCTGCCTGGGGAAGGGAGTGGGGTCTAGGGGTTGCAGCACGGGGGAGGGAGTCAGGACTCCTGGGACCTCTCCCCTGCCTGGGGAAGGGAGTGGGGTCTAGGGGTTGCAGCACGGGGGAGGGAGTCAGGACTCCTGGGACCTCTCCCCTGCCTGGGGAAGGGAGTGGGGTCTAGGGGTTGCAGCACGGGGGAGGGAGTCAGGACTCCTGGGACCTCTCCCCTGCCTGGGGACGGGAGCGGGGTCTAGTGGTTACAGCACGGGGGAGGGAGGGGGAGGGAGTCAGGACACCATGCAGAGGTGAGTGACTGTGTGTGATGGGGGGGCGATTTATGTCCGTTTCCCCTTCCCCCATGCCAAGCTCCCTGCAAAGGAGCCCCCGTCGGGGGTGGGGCATCCCCGACCCCCAGCCCACGGTCTGGAAAGTGGCCTGCCCTGCGTTTGAGGAAGCTGTGGCCGTGGGGGCAGGGTGGCCACAGAAACTTCCTCCTGCCGCTGCCCAGCATGGAGTGTGCCCGGCCCCTGCAGCTCCCCGGCCTCCTCCCCTCGGGGGCCCCGGGCACTGGCAGGGCTCTCCCCGCGTGGGGGGCACCGGGTGTGGGCATGGGGGGTCCTTGCCCTGCAGCTCCCCGGCCTCCTCCCCTCGGGGGCCCCGGGCACTGGCAGGGCTCTCCCCGCGTGGGGGGCACCGGGTGTGGGCATGGGGGGTCCTTGCCCTGCAGCTCCCCGGCCTCCTCCCCTCGGGGGCCCCGGGCACTGGCAGGGCTCTCCCCGCGTGGGGGGCACCGGGTGTGGGCATGGGGGGTCCTTGCCCTGCAGCTCCCCGGCCTCCTCCCCTCGGGGGCCCCGGGCACTGGCAGGGCTCTCCCCGCGTGGGGGGCACCGGGTGTGGGCATGGGGGGTCCTTGCCCTGCAGCTCCCCGGCCTCCTCCCCTCGGGGCCCCCCCGGGCACTGGCAGGGCTCTCCCAGCGTGGGGGGCGCCGGGTGTGGGCATGGGGGGTCCTTGCCCTGCAGCTCCCCGGCCTCCTCCCCTCGGGGCCCCCCCGGGCACTGGCAGGGCTCTCCCAGCGTGGGGGGCGCCTGGTGTGGGCATGGGGGGTCCTTGCCCTGCAGCTCCCCGGCCTCCTCCCCTCGGGGGCCCCCCCGGGCACTGGCAGGGCTCTCCCAGCGTGGGGGGCGCCTGGTGTGGGCATGGGGGGTCCTTGCCCTGCAGCTCCCCGGCCTCCTCCCCTCGGGGGCCCCCCCGGGCACTGGCAGGGCTCTCCCAGCGTGGGGGGCGCCTGGTGTGGGCATGGGGGGTCCTTGCCCTGCAGCTCCCCGGCCTCCTCCCCTCGGGGGCCCCCCCGGGCACTGGCAGGGCTCTCCCAGCGTGGGGGGCGCCTGGTGTGGGCATGGGGGGTCCTTGCCCTGCAGCTCCCCGGCCTCCTCCCCTCGGGGGCCCCCCCGGGCACTGGCAGGGCTCTCCCAGCGTGGGGGGCGCCTGGTGTGGGCATGGGGGGTCCTTGCCCTGCAGCTCCCCGGCCTCCTCCCCTCGGGGGCCCCCCCGGGCACTGGCAGGGCTCTCCCAGCGTGGGGGGCGCCTGGTGTGGGCATGGGGGGTCCTTGCCCTGCAGCTCCCCGGCCTCCTCCCCTCGGGGGCCCCCCCGGGCACTGGCAGGGCTCTCCCAGCGTGGGGGGCGCCTGGTGTGGGCATGGGGGGTCCTTGCCCTGCAGCTCCCCGGCCTCCTCCCCTCGGGGGCCCCCCCGGGCACTGGCAGGGCTCTCCCAGCGTGGGGGGCGCCTGGTGTGGGCATGGGGGGTCCTTGCCCTGCAGCTCCCCGGCCTCCTCCCCTCGGGGGCCCCCCCGGGCACTGGCAGGGCTCTCCCAGCGTGGGGGGCGCCTGGTGTGGGCATGGGGGGTCCTTGCCCTGCAGCTCCCCGGCCTCCTCCCCTCGGGGGCCCCCCCGGGCACTGGCAGGGCTCTCCCAGCGTGGGGGGCGCCTGGTGTGGGCATGGGGGGTCCTTGCCCTGCAGCTCCCCGGCCTCCTCCCCTCGGGGGCCCCCCCGGGCACTGGCAGGGCTCTCCCAGCGTGGGGGGCGCCTGGTGTGGGCATGGGGGGTCCTTGCCCTGCAGCTCCCCGGCCTCCTCCCCTCGGGGGCCCCCCCGGGCACTGGCAGGGCTCTCCCAGCGTGGGGGGCGCCTGGTGTGGGCATGGGGGGTCCTTGCCCTGCAGCTCCCCGGCCTCCTCCCCTCGGGGGCCCCCCCGGGCACTGGCAGGGCTCTCCCAGCGTGGGGGGCGCCTGGTGTGGGCATGGGGGGTCCTTGCCCTGCAGCTCCCCGGCCTCCTCCCCTCGGGGGCCCCCCCGGGCACTGGCAGGGCTCTCCCAGCGTGGGGGGCGCCTGGTGTGGGCATGGGGGGTCCTTGCCCTGCAGCTCCCCGGCCTCCTCCCCTCGGGGGCCCCCCCGGGCACTGGCAGGGCTCTCCCAGCGTGGGGGTCCCCTCCCAGAGCCAGGGATAGAGCCCAGCATCCTGGCTTCCCACCCCTCTCCCACTCTAACCACTAGACCCTACTCCCCTCCCAGAGCCAGGGACAGAACCCAGCGTCCTGGCTTCCCCCCCCTCGCCCAC